AATTTCTAGGTTGCCAATGTATAGAAGACGAGCAATAAGGCATAGAGCGTGAGTGGTCGATCCCCGGCTCCTGGTGTGACATGTCAAAGTATCCTTGAGATACTGAACCCCAAATTCCTCCCGAGTGAATGTGAATGTGTATGAATGTTAGTTTCTGTTTTGAGTGAATGTGTGTGAAAGGGTGAATGTCTCACGTAGTGTAAAAGCACTTTGAGTGGTTGGAAGACTAGAAATGCGCTATACAAGTACAGGTGCATTTACCATTTAACTTCACCCTGGAAAACCAGGTCCACCGCCAGGGAGAGTACTTCAATGACAAGTGAGTCACCTATCATATGAGGGCATTTTGAATTTCTGTAGGTTTTATGATAGTCAGGTGCCTTTTATTCCAAGGATATTTTTAAAATTTTAAATTTTACGCATCTCCAATACTTGATAAATGTATTCATAATTTATTCTGTCTATATACTTTGTGGTGGATGACAATAAAACAGATGAAAAAAATAAATGAGGTTTCAACAAATGTTTTATTCTGAGCACTGCTTTAATTGGATTCTGAATTGGATCTGCCCTGCAGAGTTGTTCATGTTTAACAATCATCATGTTCCTTTTGTTTCCCTCTGTTCCCCACTTCCATGTTCCATCTATTCATCATCTCTTTGCCTCCATTACTTGAGTCCATCATCCCTGTCTGCAATTACCTGCAGGTTTATGAACCTGAAATTGAGATCTATGGTGTTTGAGGATTCGCTGTTTGAGGAGTGTTACTTTGAGGACATCACCTCCAGCAACACCTTCTTCAAAACTGCACCTTCATTGCCAGCCTATTCTGCAACACAGGTAGGACACACACACACACACACACACACACACACACACACACTGATACCGTATAATGGTTTATCTCTCTCTGTCCTTATTCTGTCTGCTATTTATAGTGCTTTAAAGGAGCTCCTTATACATAACTTTCTTTTAAGAAGAGATATTGGCACAGTTTCACTCATTTGCAATCTTGTTAAGGGATTGTGTGACTTCAGTATCCTGATGGATGGAAGATGGTGTAATCACTTCCATTAGGACATAGTTACCAGTGTATAGTATATAGCTCTGGGGATCTTTTTGTATCTCAGTTTTAGTGGGCAATATTTTCCTAGCATTGTCTCCTAGCAACCCAGACCGAATCCTTCATAATTTCAGCTTATAAAATTGCGGAGCTGCCTCTCATCCCAAACTATATGATTGATTTGTCTCCTCTGAAATGACACAAAAGATGTCACATGTAGAAAGCCGATGGGAACTGTATCTTTGTAGATTTTTAGAAAAGGGATACCGTCCAGTATAGATTCAGCAGCTGTGTCCACACATACTAACCAGGGCTGGGCAATATATCGATATAAAAAATATGTCGATATATTTTAAAATGTGATATGGAATTAGACCATATCGCATATATGGATATAGTTCAAATTTGCGCTGAGATCCTTGCTCCAAGCAAGCTGCTGACCCGGAGCTCTCTGCACTTCTCCCCCTGCCCCCGCCCCTCCTCTTTCAATAACCTAACGTAATGTTTGTGTTCATATCTATAATTTAGACTGTAACGTTGTCAGACTGTTAGGTTAGCTAACTGCTGAGTAATTGGCTCATTGTCTCATGTCAATGTGCACTGACCACTTACTGCCGTAGTGCCCACTTTCGATGGTTAGTATTGTCCCAAAAGTACCACTTATGTTAAAACACTTAACAGAAATGATGAGCGCGATGAACGCGACGAACGTAACACGCGTAAACGCGATTTTCCAGCCCGCCAAAAATCTATGCCGGCTTTTGTTTACAAACATTTTTCTGCACGTTCATTTACCACTCAGTTCACAGCATGTGGAAACTACGTCACCTCCGACACAAACGTAGGTTAGGGTAGCTAGGTAGCTAGGTAGCATTAACATGTAACGTTACGCTACTTAATTCGCCAAATCTGGCTTCAGTCAGTGTCAGTGAGAACATGTAAGTAATGCATTAGACGACAGTAAAACGTTTCGTATTACCGCTGTTACTTACTTTTATACGATAGAGTTCACATTTATAACGTGCTTGTCCTAAAGGTCCCTCCTCTTCCGCTTTGTAGTCAAGATGGCGTCCGTTTAGTGCGAGTAGGGGCCATCATGCCACACTGAATTTTTTGACTGTTTTTAGGGGGTCATCCGGGTACTTTCAGTGCACTGACTTTTGTGTTATCTACACTATATACTTAAAACTGTAAAAAAGTGTTTGAAGTGTGCAAGTAAGCGGAATGAGACACAGCCCTTAACTTATGTTACAGGTAACGTAACGTTAGCATGTTAAGCTCGGCATGATTCATGTTAGCAAAACACAACGTTAATATTGAGTGTGGCTTTAGTCGGGATGGGTTGCTTGTTCTGTTTACAGGCAGCAAATCTTTATCATACCATTAACATTATGTTACTAACGTTACAGACACTTGTTGCTGAGTCAACCTAATGTACAGCTCAGTAATAGCGTTAACTTACGTTACGTTGTTATAACATAATTGTACTTGCTTGTGTAATAACGGTAGCAGTTTTGGTGAGTGGTAACAGCCTTACTGCCTTCTGAAAATATTAATTTAAAAGTTATAATGCAGCCTAACTTCTGGTCACAGGTGTGTGTGTGTGTGTGTGTGTGTGTGTGTGTGTGTGAGTGAGAGAGTGAGTGAGTGAGAGAGAGAGAGAGAGAGAGAAAGAGAGACTGAACATTTGCTCTCACTTTGCGGAAAAAATATCGGGATATATATCGTATATCGATATTCAGCTTAAATATATCGGGATATGACTTTTGGTCCATATCGCCCAGCCCTAATACTAGCACTTGCACACAACAGGCACTGTATTTCAGCCAGACCTTCCTCTGGCTTTGTTAGCTGTTTACAGTCTTCACACACGTCAAGCAATCACTCACAGCTGCTATCAGTGGCAGCCAGGAGTTCCTCATTAGACTGGGATTGTGAAGCTTGTTTGCTTACTAATGCTCTTTCTCTTCTGGGGCTCCCTGTTCAGAACTTAAGGCTGATAGTTGCCATAATGTACCTTATTAGCACAATGCGACATTATGGGAACAAACCACATGATGAATGCAGTTGGGCTGTGCAGGTGTGACCTTCTGTTAGCCAGAGGATTTGAGGGCCATTTTATCAGTTATCAGTTTATCAACTCATAGTGTTATTACTGCAATACCCTGCAATAATTGGGGAGACTGTATTCATATTCACGATTACTGCAATAGAGTGACTCTTGGCAGATTATAATGAGCTTTGATTCTACACCGGAAACAATTTTTATAGAATGAAATACCTGTGGGGATGCTAGAAATTGGTTGAGACACTGTAGATGCATCCTATTAGCCCAAATGATCACTTGGTCACTTCTCTGCCAAATGAAAGTGACAATTTGCAACTTGTTAGTGTCAAGTCAATCAAATAGAGTTTACCATATAGCACACAAACTATTGTTGTTGTTAATGTTACTATTATTATTTTGTGTAGGACACTACTCTGTTCTGAGGGTTTCTGTGCCTGCTCCTCTCAAACGGCAGGTTGCAATAAACTGGTCACTGATCGGATTTGTTTGGGATGTCTCTTTTTTCATTCATTCACATAAACCACTTTTTATTTATCAAAAAAACTCCCCCTAATAGGGGGTTAGCTTTATATTGTATTTTCATTGTACACTAAAATATGTACAAATTTAACACTCATAATGTACAGAACAGATTTTTATCAGTTTCCTACCAGTGTTTTAAGTTGTAAAAGACAAAAGACATGACTTTTAATTGTTGCATCTCACACAAATGGGCTGAATTGAATTTCCACCACAAACTTGGCGTCACGAACAGGATTTCTCAGTGACCGCCTGGACTCCTTGGGACAACGGTGACTGATCATCTGGAAAAAGATTCCACCTCTACCTCCTTAGTTTGAAGAGAAAAGAGGACCGTTGACCGGGGGAGACCGGGTCGTCCCCGCAGAGATCCAACGGACCGATTGGGTCAGATAAAGGAATCAACGGCCTAATCCGGTGAGATGTAAAATTTCTAACGGCAATAGTAGAACTTTGTGAGCTCTGAAAAAGGAGAAAACATTTGTTGTGTAGAAGGTTGTGTAGAAGGCATTTGTTTGTGTATTTGAAAAATCATACATGTCACTGTAGTCCACGTCCGTATCTGGCTTAAAGGGGTGAAGAAACCCAAAGTGGTCTGTGAACACCGGCAAAGGCTGCGGGGAAAGTTTTAATGCATTTTTAACCCGAAACCAAATAAGAAACCGCAACTCACAGAGCTGTTGTGTTTAAGTGACGGATAAGAGATCCGGGCACAAAAGTGACGGATGTGGGATCTGGGCACAAAAAAAAGTACTCAATAATGGGAAATAAGGGAAGCAGAGAAGGACAACCTCCAGAGGAGGGGCCTATAGTTCAATTCAATTCAATTCAATTTATTTGTATAGCGCCAATTCATAACAGAAGTTATCTCAGGACACTTTTCAAATAGAGCAGGTCTAGACCGAACTCTTTAACATTAATTACAGAGACCCAACAGTACCACCATGAGCAAGCACTTGGCGACAAGGGCAAGGAAAAACTGCCTGTTAAAAGGCAGAAACCTAGGACAGGTGGACATAATGACGAACAAATACACAGAGAAAAGCGTGAAACACCTGAGATGTTGGTCTCAAGATTTCGGCTTCCCGTTGGGAGGCTCATTAAGTAAAACAGAGTTACAGAAACTAAGGTTGCAGTTAGAAAAGAAAGAGGAAGATATGAGAAAGATAAAGAAAGTAGAAACAAAGGACTTGGACGAGATGGATAGCCATAGAAAGTGTTTAAAAATGTGGGAAGAAGAAGCGGAACACAGAGAAAGGAAACAGTTCCAAAGTAAGATGGTTAAGATGAATGTGAAAGATGATGAAAAATATGACAAAGTGAAACCTAAGGGGTCTCTTTATCCTTCCCTCTCAGGTCACAGAGGTCCTCTCCTCGACTCGTACCCTCCGCCGCAGCCACCACCAGCGTACCAATACCCAGATTCATCAAACCAGCCCATACCCACGCCACCGACTGCACCGCCACAGCCCCCAGCACACGCCAATCTGGACACGGAAAGAGGAGCAGTGGGAGGGCGCGATCTGACAGGCCCAGCTGACTCTACAATGTCCAGCTTCTCTCCTCATCACACCTACGCCACTGCTTCCTAAATGGATTACAACCCGCAATTAAAGCAGCAGTAGAACACAGTTTCGTGGGACTTGATGACGCCAGACTCACTGAAGTCAAGAGGCATGCGGAACATGCACAAAAGACTCGGAACCAGAACAAGGCCAGAGAAGGTGATAAGAAGGACAGACAGCGCCACCAAGCACAGCTCACAATGATGCAAGCTGTGTCAGACTCATACCAAAGTCAGAGGGGCCGTGGCAGAGGACGAGGAGGTCGCGGACATGGACGTGGACGCGGACGCTCAGATTGGGGAACATACTCCACTGGATGTTTTATCTGTGGAAAAGAGGGACTGGGCAAAGGACTGTCCGGATAACCAAGACAACTACGGCAGAACAAACAAAACTAAGGCTTACTCCGATTGAGAGGCGGATGGAGGGACACGGGGAGAGGAGACGAGCTGTGATCCTGCCTGCACATCATTTAAGGGAAGTGAAACACTCACGCACATGCAATGAAGAATTGTTTGCTGCACTAACCACACCTGCTACACACACACACACACACACACACACACACACACACACACACACACACACAGAGATAGTGGAGCAGGCAATTGCTCACTTAGAACAGCGCATGCGAAAAACACCTCTAGCAAGTACATATGTAAAATACAATACAGAACCTTTCCTTCGTATGCCCGAAACAATGTTGACTATAAATGGGAATCATATGAAGTTTTTAGTGGATTCAGGGGCAACTTATTAAGTCATTCAGGAAAAGCACCTGACAAATGCGAAAATGAGTGGAAATTTCATCCACTCACAAGGGGCTACGGGGGCTATTGTTAAAGAAAAATTCACTGTGCCACTGCAATGTTCAAACACAACTGATGGAGATACAGTCTCAACAAAACATGGGTTTTTACTTTCCCCACTCTGCCCCATAAATTTGTTTGCCAGAGATCTCATGCTAACGCTGAACATTAGTTTGGAGTCCACTCCTGGCGGTCTGAAAGTGGTGCGCAGACACCATGCACTCTCCATGGTCCAATACAGTGCAAAAACCCCTCTGTATGTGTATCAGTGGAGAATACCACACCCCATTGCCACAAACCTGGTCAGACAAGCCAGAGAGTTAGTGTCCCGTCATGCTGACTTTATGAGAGCTGAAAGCATACATTGTACAGCCTATGTCTCCGAGGGTCCAGACCATGATTTTGAGAAACATTTTTATTGTGATTTAAATGATGTTTTGTGTACCTCCACCCTGTTTTGGTCAGAAACACGGAGCGCAGTATCTGTGTCGCTGACTGACAGGCAAATGAAGGAATTTCATGTTAAGTCTTCCAGCCCTCACACCTCGCTCTCCAAAGCCACAACAGACGAATGGAAAGATCTGGGGCTGTTTGTTAAAAATGCCTTAACATAACAGATTGGGGCCCCACTGCGGACCCATTAGTTATGTACTCTGCCTGTTTTAACATCTATAAGAAACCATTTCATTGCACAACCAATGCCCTGCGCTCAGTCTATTTGTTGAGCGTTCCCAGATCTCACTGCTCTTAATCATTTGTGTTCTGTCCAACTGATGTGTCCCCCCGCATTGGCGTCACTACCTGACACCTTGTGGGCGCAATGAAAGTACGATGTGGGGTTAATAAAAACTGTGAACCAGTGAAAATAACACCTAAGTCCACTTACCACCCATGCAAACAACAATATCCACTAAAAAAGGAAGCAATTGAGGGCATAACTCCTGTATTCAACTCTCTTTTGCAGGCTGGTGTTATCATTCCTTGCCCTGACTCCCCCGTACGCACCCCTATTTTCCCTGTGAAAAAGATAAGGGACAGGGGTCAGCCTACGGAGTGGCGCTTTGTGCAAGATCTGAAGGCTGTGAATGACGCTGTGATACCACATGCACCTATTGTGCCTAATCCATACATCTTGTTAGCGCAAATACCTCCAGGGGCAAAGTGGTTTTCTGTTGTGGATTTGTCCAATGTTTTTTTCAGTGTTCCTGTGCACCCTGACAGTCAGTTCTGGTTTGCATTCAACTTTGAAGGGAAAGCCTACACGTTCACTCGTTTATGTCAGGGTTATTGTAAATCACCGTCCCTCTACAACCAAGCTTTGAGTGCCAGCCTTGACCCCCTAGTGTTGACCCCAGGTACTGCTTTGTTGCAGTATGTTGATGATTTGCTCATTGCTGCCCCAACCCAAGAGCAGTGCGAAAGAGACACACTTAAACTGCTCAGTCACCTCGCCACAGAGGGCCACAAAGTCAGCCTGAGTAAACTGCAATATGTGAAACAGGCAGTTACATTTCTGGGCCATGACATTTCAGGAAAAGGAAAAACACTGTCTCCAAAACGCATTGAAGCGATAAGAACTTTACCCAAACCTGTAACAAAGAAACAAGTTATGTCATTTCTGGGAACATGCTCGTACTGCCGTACATTCATTCCTAACTTTGCTCTTCTCGAAGCTCCCTAAGGTGCATTGTACCACGGAAAAAATCTCTCCTCGAGCGATCACGTGACCTGGACACCACAGGCAGATCAGGCGTTTCTCACACTGAAAGAGGAGCTGCAGCGCGCACCCACATTGGGTCTCCCCGATCCCATGAAACCGTTCACTCAGGCCGTGGATGAGAGGGAAGGTTGCATGACGTCAGTGTTAATGCAGCCTCATGGTGATCGACTCCGACCAATAGCTTACTTTTCTGCCAAATTGGACCCGGTTGCAGCAGGTTTTCCACGCTGCCTGCGTGCCGTGGCAGCGTGTGAAAAGGCCTTAATGGCCTCAAGAGATATTGTGGGCTATTCTGACGTCACCTTACTCGTTCCTCACACGGTTTCACTCATCCTACTCGAGCAGAAAACATCTCACTTATCCACTGCCCGCTGGTTAAGATACCATACTGTGTTATTGGACATGCCGAATGTTACTGTTAAACGATGCACAGTTCTGAATCCAGCCACACTCCTTCCTCTCCCTCATGAGGGGGAGGAACACGATTGCCTGGCTGAATTACAAATACAATGCACACCACATGTTGATTTATCTGATGTTCCTTTGCAGAATGCTGACATGGTTCTCTATGTTGATGGCTCTGCCTCCAGGAACCCTGTTTCTGGCAATAACTGTGTTGGTTTTTCTGTTGTTTCAGACAGTGCCATCCTGCGCTCAGGCCCTCTTCCTCGCCACCTCTCAGCCCAGGCAGCGGAGCTCATAGCGCTCACTGAGGCCTGCAAATTGGGAGAAGGGAAGTCAGTAACCATCTACACTGACTCCAGATATGCATTTGGGGTGGTACATGATTTTGGGGCGTTGTGGCGTCACAGGAAATTTCTCACGTCATTAGGCAAACACATTGCACACCACAACTTGATCAGTGACCTTCTCTCTGCAATCATGCTACCCACACGAGTAGCAGTATGTAAATGAGCAGCACATACAGGGCAGCAAGACATTGTCTCCCTAGGCAACGCCAGAGCAGATGTAGCTGCTAAGAAAGCGGCTTCTTTATCACTTCCTCAAACTCACTCTCACTTTCCTGTACACCCTCCTCACACACACACACACACACACACTAATGCCCTCCCTTCCTTTCTCACAGCAATGCAGGCTTCTGCTACAGCGGATGAGAAACGAATGTGGAAAACATGCGGGGCTGTTTTGGAAAATGACGGTCAAGCATGTATAGTGTGTGCAACACATAATGTGGGAAGACCAGTGGCTGTAACAGGCCAGGCAGCGCATGCACCACCCACCAGACCTTTTGAACACGTAATGATGGATTTTATCGAGCTCACCCCATCAGAGGGAAAGTCACACTGTTCAGTAATGGTGGACATGTGGTCAAAATGGGTTGAGGCCTTTCCAGCCTCCAAGCAAACCGCCAGCGTGGTGGCAAAGGCGATTCTCTCTGAGGTAATCCCCAGATGGGGCATCCCGGGCAGAATCTCCAGCGACAATGGCACCCATTTTGTAAATGAGGCTATTAAACAAATCAGTGGCTACATGGGGTTTGATCTTAGAACACACTGCGCATACCATCCTGCTAGTGGCGGAGCTGTAGAGAGAGAGAATGGAACCCTAAAAGCGAAACTAGCTAAGTGCTGTGAAGACACAGGTCTCCTGTGGACAAGAGCTCTGCCCCTGGTGCTAATGTACATGAGAATAAGGAGGAGGGCCAGAACAAATCTGTCACCTTTTGAAGTATTGTTTGCAGCGCCTCCCCATGTTGGAACACAGCCTCCAAACTCTCCACCCCCTTCCACCTCACTGTGTGAGCATGACATGATCACATATTGTACTAACCTCTCCTCTGCTCTCTCCTTCATAAGACAGCAGGGGACAGCAACACTCCCACGACCGGCAGCATTCCCACTGCACTCTCTGCAGCCAGGGGACTACATAGTGGTGAAAGATTTCAGGAGAAAAAACTGGCAAGCCAGAAGGTGGCAGGGACCATTTCAGTTGTTACTCACAACCCACACAGCAATAAAGGTTGTTGAACGAGCCACTTGGATCCACGCCAGCCATTGCAGAAGGGTACCTGACCCTAGCACAACTACTCAGACACAACAGACCAACGACGAGGGTGTCACTGACATTAGCCAGCACGACTAGCGGTGGCTGATTAAGTGAGCGTCACAAGTGACGTACGCAGTTACACTGCCCTCAACCAACCCTACAATAGAGACAACACATTGCAGTACCTGACAACGACAACGACAACGACAACGCCATGGACCGCACCAGACCATGGCACCACTTCAGACAGCCAGGGCTGTGCGGCCTTAGAGGGACATTTTGTTGCCTTGGGCTGATTTCTGTGGTAATTGTGGTAACTATTTTGCTCACCATTGAAACACACACACCTGAACGACACAACACAACCATGCCAGCAAATCACACAAATCACACGCGAACATGTAGGACAGCAGGACAGGTAAAAACAATATCATACAAGGTCCCTATGACTTTACAAAAACAGCAATGGCTTTCATTTTCTCTGATAATGATGTAACTGTTTGAATCTAAGTGAATTTCAGTTACTGACACCACACAGTTGAAAATATATTGTACATATTCTTTATTGATCCATGGTATGATCAAAAGGGGGGAGTGTAATGGAAAATTTGAATACACTATAATACACTATATGTAACCTCATGCTTATGAACTACTGTGCGTGCAAAATGTCTATCTGTTCCAAGGTTGCCCTCAGCACCTGGTAATTCTCCCACACGATAAAGACTAACAGTCAACCTGTGGTTACAATGTCTCTCTGTTACTGTGGGAGGAGAGGATGAACCCGGTGGAGACTGGCTCCAGGCATCTCCTATGTATACAAGGTCATGATGTTTGTTAGCATATCTGGCTATTATCTACCTTGTACCTCCTGTTTTGCTTCTTCAATAAATGAGGGTGCAGCCCTGAGAAGGGAGACCTTTTCATGCTGACAAGCTGAGAGGCTCGCTCTGCGCAGAGCTACACCCGGGTGAAAAAACAGACTGACTGACTGACTTTTAATTGTTGCATCTCACACGAATGGGCTGAATTGAATTTCCACATTTATACAATCACATGAATTTCAAACAGATGTTTATTAGGCGTGCGTAAAGGGTGCCACCCCCCCTGCAGAGAGTTTACATCTCTAACTCTCTTCAGTGGGGCAGGAAGTTCTACGGTAGGCCTACAGTGGCAATACTTCACACTTTGTCCATCCTTAACCCGTTTAATCCCTCTTTTTTTTTTTTACTTCTGGAAGCTCTAAAAGTGCTGTTTTGGTTCTAGCAGCTAATGGAAGTTTTTAGATAATATGTTGTCTCCTCTAATTTGTATCAATGTCATGTAACTAGTGTGAATGGTCACATGACCAGGCCTCTTTACTTCCTGCTTGCACCGCTGGCGGGAAATGTCTGCCTCAAACTTGTACACGTGTACACGAGGAAGTAAGTAAAATACCTTAATTAACAGATATAAGTGAAATATTTTGTACATATTATTTAAAGGGTCTACTACTGATATATAATGAGAATTATATGCCCGCATAAATCTTTTGATCAAAAAAGAGTAAATGTAACCATGGCAACATTTGTTGCTGCTAGCAGAACACATGGTCATAGCATTATGCAAGGTGTCAAAAGTTTTAGCTGTTTATTCTATTTTCTTATGTTTTTCTATACACAGCTTAAACCTATAAGAGGTTTTGGAACTTCTGGACTTAAAAGAACCCCAAAGTCATGTGTGCTATATAACAGTCATTCCTACAGTTGAAAGAGATGTAATTGAAAGTGACTGTGATAGTGACTGCACAGATAGAGAGTACCAAGGCGAAACAGGCCATTTACCTGCTAGACTGCTGAATGGTGAAGCAGAGGTGACCTATCTGGAGGATGAGAAAGATTTTAACTTGATAATTCCAGAACTACCCCCAGACCTTCCCTGCCCCCCAACTCCCCCAACTCCAGTTGGTGAATCTCCCACAGTGTCCAGCCAGAAACCCAGAACACAAACCAAAAAAAGGAGATGTCCTGAAGAAAATTAAACCCCAAAACACCAAAAAAAACCCAGAAAAAAAATGCTTTAAAAAATAGCAAAATAGGAACAGGATTTTTAAAAGATTACGACGCCCAGCCACATCCTGTATACCAGATTTTGTGACCTATGGTCCAACTGCAGCAAATTGCATAAAACAAACTCAACCTGACCATGTTGATTTGTTCCTTTTGATGTATCCTCCTACTCTGAGGGAGCTCACTGTTGAGATGTCAAACCTCTACTCAATGCAAACCAAAGGGAAGGCCCTTGATCTGAGCATGGATGAGTTGCTGAGTTCTTATGGGGTTCTGCTCGCATCTGGCTACAGTTCAGTACCACGGAGGCACATGTATTGGTCATATGACCCTGATGTCTACAATGAAGCCATCTCAAATGCAATAAGAAGGAACCGCTTTGACGAGATAATGGTCTCAATTCATCTGGTGGATAACTCAAAGGCCACAGACGATCCTTTCTACAAAGTGCGGCCCATCTTCAGTGCACTGAATGACACCTACAAGATGATGCCATACACAAAACAGCTGTCAATTGATGAAAGCATAATACCCTATTATGGCAGGCACTGCTGCAAGCAGTTCATCAGGGGCAAACCAATCCGGTTTGGATAGTGGGGTACATGTTTAACATGGAGCCCTATTGTGGAGTCCACACACATCTGCCTGAAACTGGCTTAGGACAGGACCCAAGTGTAGTCCTTGGTCTGGCTGAACAAGCAGAAGTCCCTCCAGGATGCACATTTGAGTATGATAACCTTTTCACCTCACTTAGCCTCCTTGATGAAATGACCAAACGGGGTTATGGGTCCCTTGGCACACTGAGACAGTGCCGTCTACATGACATCCCTTTCACAGGTGTGAAGGATTTTGAAAAAATGCCTTGTGGAAGCACGGAGGTCCTTACAGAGGGGGAGAAGTTACTGGTGCGATGGAAGGATAACAGTGTTGTAACCATGGCAACCAATGCTGTAGAAAGATATTCAGAGGGTCAAGTTTCCAGGTGGAGCAAAGAGAAAAAAGCAGTTGTCACAACCTCTGTGTTTCTTTACATATAACCAAAACATGGGTGGCGTGGATCTGCATGATCTTCATGTGTCAAGATATAGATCTGCAATAAGGTCAAAGAAGTGGTGGAGGCCAATCCTGGCCTGGTCCCTTCACAGTGCAGTGGTGAATAGTTGGCTGTTCTTCAGAGATGTTGTTGGCAGTGTCCATGGATCTCCTCAAGAGATATGGAAAACAGCCTCTTGAGCAAGGCAGAAGATCTGCAACTGTGAAACCTCAGGATTCCACAAGAGGTGATGGGAAACATCACTGGCCTGTAAACACAGGAAAACGTTACCAAAGATGCAGATGATGCTACAACCGCACTGTGTATGGATGTGAGAAGTGTGACGTACCACTCCACATTGAGTGCACATTGAAGATTTTTCATGGAGAGTAAAATCTAACTGATAAGCCTTTGAGCTGTTACATAAATCAAATCTATTGAAACTGGTAACTGTAAAATAAATATTCAGATTTTTGTCACTAATAGTGCGCCTTCAGTATGCACTGTTTTTATATCTTTTGCACAGTTTTTGCGGTACAGTGAATATTTACATGCAGTTTTTTGGGTTTCTGTTGAATAACACTGTGCACTCATCTTCTGGCCATGATGTTAGTGTTCAGTAAATGTTAAGTGAATCTAAGGTACTGCCACAATGTGAATTTATTTTATTTTTATAAACTAGTATCAGTTCTTATTTTGTAAGTTCAAACATTTTTAGCTCTACTGTTATTTAACGGTTTTATGTGCTTTGAGCTGTGCTTTGCTCCTAAATTAAATTAATAAATTCAAATTCTGTTATATCTTTTGCACTTTTTTTGAGGTACAGTAAATACTGACAATGTAAATTTATTTTATTTTTATAAACTAGTATCAGTTCTTATTTTGTAAGTTCAAACATTCTTAGCTCCAAGGTTATTCAACCGTTTTATGAGACTATGAAATACAGTAATTGTGTTGTTGTCCTTGTTAGTTCCCTTCAGTATGCATTGAAATGATATCTTAATGTATCTAATAAAGTTCTAAACACATTTATAACCATGCCTAGTTATAATATGTTACTCATGTTCATGTTATTTTTATTCTTTACATGTGTAAATTGGTCAAATTGAAGAATTTGTGTAAATTTAGACTATGCGGTTTCCCACCGGCAACAATTGTTGCCGAGTATAAAACCTCAATTTCCACTAACATAACATAACATGAAATGAAAGAATTCATACCTATTATATGTTAGGGTGGTCTAAGGAGTTAAATGCATGCACTTATTTTGCAAGGAACAATTGGGGATTTAACGGGTTAAGCGTCGTTCCTTCACTGCAGCCAACACCGTAATAACGAGAGGAGCGTTTCACACGAAGTAAGTTTCAAACATATATACGTTTATCACATCTAGACTGTTTGTCTTATACACCTCTATTATCTGAAACATAAAAACACATCATACACAGATGCATGGTGCTGATATAACCGCAAAGCCTAAATACAATATTCCTTACAATAAAGAATACATAACTACAGCCTATATAATCTTCTGTATAACGATATATGACTGGTGGATTTTGAACACAACGCTGCATTCTTACAGTATTTCTCCAAACCGACCTACTTTAGGTCGGACCAGTGCTACTTATTTATGCTTATTTATCTATTAATTTATTATTCTTATCACCTACTTTATTATATGGCATCAGCGTGAATGGAAAGGCTACAAATTCCTTCGATTAAAAGACGAGTTTAATGTATGAAACCGAGAACAATGAGCGCAAAATGTGTCGCCATTAGAATTTAAAAATAAACGTGAGTACATTTAAAAAATGCATTTTTTTTTCAAAGTAAAACGCTTGGCACATTCATGACGTCATTCCCACCGTCATTTCCATGACGTAGCAGCCACTTCAAAGGACTCCTTTGATGTGTGCCCTGCAAAAATCAACCCCAGAGCTCATCACCTCTGTGCACCTTTGTGTTACACAACAGTTACACAATCATACGGACGATAACTGGAAATCAGCAGAAATATCATTTCTTTACAACAACTATACGCCAACATGCCAGTTTTAGTTCTTGGTCTAGTTGTGGTTCCTTGGGCCATCAGAACTGCTGGTCGCATCATTAGAGCTGGATTGGAGCGCATTCCCCCAGTCCACCCATTGTTAACCCAGAACCGGTCCTACTTGAGTCACCTGTAGAGGTAGACCTAGCACCACTGGCAGAGACAAATTTAAATGAAGCAGAGGAAGAGCAGAATAGCTCCTCTTCAGGCATTCGCACTTTAACTCACAGGAGTCACACAGGGTCAGATGGAAATTCAGCATTTTCTTCGGCAGCTGCTTATTCCACGGTGGCTCAAGCAACAACTCCTTCTGTTTTTCCCAGCATCAGAAATCCTGATTGCTTCAATGATATTGAAATCGTGCCTATTCCCCCCAGTTCACCCATTGTTAACCCAGAACCGGTCCTACTTGAGTCACCTGTAGAGGTAGACTTAGCACCACTGGCAGAGACAAATTTAAATGAAGCAGAGGAAGAGCAGAATAGCTCCTCTTCAGGCATTCGCACTTTAACTCACAGGAGTCACACAGGGTCCGATGGAAATTCAGCATTTTCTTCGGCAGCTGCTTATTCCACGGTGGCTCAAGCAACAACTCCTTCTGTTTTTCCCAGCATCAGAAATCCTGATTGCTTCAATGATATTGAAATCGTGCCTATTCCCCCCAGTTCTCCCATTGTTAACCCAGAACCGGTCCTACTTGAGTCACCTGTAGAGGTAGACTTAGCACCACTGGCAGAGACAAATTTAAATGAAGCAGAGGAAGAGCAGAATAGCTCCTCTTCAGGCATTCGCACTTTAACTCACAGGAGTCACACAGGGTCCGATGGAAATTCAGCATTTTCTTCGGCAGCTGCTTATTCCATGGTGGCTCAAGCAACAACTCCTTCTGTTTTTCCCAGCATCAGAAATCCTGATTGCTTCAATGATATTGAAATCGTGCCTATTCCCCCCAGTTCACCCATTGTTAACCCAGAACCGGTCCTACTTGAGTCACCTGTAGAGGTAGACTTAGCACCACTGGCAGAGACAAATTTAAATGAAGCAGAGGAAGAGCAGAATAACTCCTCTTCAGGCATTCGCACTTTAACTCACAGGAGTCACACAGGGTCAGATGGAAATTCAGCATTTTCTTCGGCAGCTGCTTATTCCACGGTGGCTCAAGCAACAACTCCTTCTGTTTTTCCCAGCATCAGAAATCCTGATTGCTTCAATGATATTGAAATCGTGCCTATTCCCCCCAGTTCACCCATTGTTAACCCAGAACCGGTCCTACTTGAGTCACCTGTAGAGGTAGACTTAGCACCACTGGCAGAGACAAATTTAAATGAAGCAGAGGAAGAGCAGAATAGCACCTCTTCAGGCATTCGCTTTTTTATTCACAGGAGTCATTCTGGCGGTAATTCCATGACCAGAGCACAAATTTTAGCAGGAATCGCCACGCTCAGAGAAATGGGTTTCGCCAACATTGTGTTGTCCATGGCTCAAGAAATATCGGCTACTTTCTTCACCGATGAGGAGACAAATTTTAAAACCCTTTTTACTTATATCCGAGAAACAATTACTGCTGTTCTTCCCGGAATCAAAGTAAGAACCACAGTGAATATTTACCCACTAAGAGTTGACATTAGGATATTCCATGTTGAGCCTTCTCCTCTCCCAAACTCAGTAGTTGACCTCGAGACATCACAGCCTGCTGGCACAGAGTCAGATGGAATATTGGCAACTGCTTATGAGTCACCTGTAGAGGTAGACCTTGCACCACTGGCAGGGACAAATTTAAATGAAGCAGAGGAAGAGCAGAATAGCACCTCTTCAGGCATTCGCTTTTTATTCACAGGAGTCATTCTGGCGGTAATTCCATGACCAGAGCACAAATTTTAGCAGGAATCGCCACGCTCAGAGAAATGGGTTTCGCCAACATTGTGTTGTCCATGGCTCAAGAAATATCGGCTACTTTCTTCACCGATGAGGAGACAAATTTTAAAACCCTTTTTACTTATATCCGAGAAACAATTACTGCTGTTCTTCCCGGAATCAAAGTAAGAACCACAGTGAATATTTACCCACTAAGAGTTGACATTAGGATATTCCATGTTGAGCCTTCTCCTCTCCCAAACTCAGTAGTTGACCTCGAGACATCACAGCCTGTTGGCACAGAGTTAGATGGAATATTGGCAGCTGCTTATGAGTCACCTGTAGAGGTAGACCTAGCACCACTGGCAGGGACAAATTTAAATGAAGCAGAGGAAGAGCAGAATAGCACCTCTTCAGGCATTCGCTTTTTTATTCACAGGAGTCATTCTGGCGGTAATTCCATGACCAGAGCACAAATTTTAGCAGGAATCGCCACGCTCAGAGAAATGGGGTTCGCCAACATTGTGTTGTCCATAGCTCAAGAAATATCGTCTACTTTCTTCACCGATGAGGAGACAAATTTTGAAACCCTTTTCACTTATATCCGAGAAACAATTACTGCTGTTCTTCCCGGAATCAATGTAAGAACCACAGTGAATATTACCCCACTAAGAGTTGACATTAGGATATTCCATGTTGAGCCTTCTCCTCTCCCAAACTCAGTAGTTGACCTCGAGACATCACAGCCTGCTGGCACAGAGGTAGATGGAATATTGGCAACTGCTCATGAGTCACCTGTAGAGGGAGACCTAGCACCACTGGCAGAGTCAGATGGAATTTTGGCAACTGCTAAATCCATGGCCAGAGCACAATTTTTAGAAGGAATCGTCGCGCTCAGAACAATGGGGTTCTCCAACATTGTGTTGTCCCTAGCTCGAGATTTAATTACTACTTCTTTCACGGTGGCTAAAGGAGGAATCACTGATTTTATGTCCTTAATTGTGGAAGGAACCATGGCTGTTTTCACCCTAGCTAAGGCAAGTTTTTCAACTTTTTTGACCATGGCCCAAGCAGGTATTGCTGCTGTTATCCACCCACTCAAAGCAGGTATTGCTGCTGTCATTCACCCACTCAAAGAAAGAATTGCTGCTGGTTTTTCCGCAATTCAAGCGACAATGGCACGATGGAGCCAGCGGAGGACCCCCTAATGGACCAACTTTTCCCCCCACACTTGTATGAACGGCTTGTGTCTATACAATATGCTAATCTGATATATATATTTTTTTTCATATATTTTTTATTTTATAATTAATAATCAATTCTAGCCGGCCAACTGCTTTTGACCATCCATCACTACGTCATACTGAGTTTTACTTGAATGACAGTGACCGACAGCAGTGGCCTGGAAATATGGTGGCACTGTGGCTTAATAATCCTCCAGTGTCCACGTGGGTTTTCCCCGGGTGCTCCGGTTTCCTCCCACAAAGTACTGTTACTGTCAGGCGGCACCCCAGTCTCTGCTTTACGCATAGCGCATGTAACTACACAGGACGAAGAAATGCAACAAGTCTCACATTTGCTTTCACTCCCCTGGTTTTAGCCTTTAATACAGCACAATCTGTCTTCCAATGTCCTTTCTCGTGACAATAGTTACAGATATTCCCATTGTCAAACTGATCACTTGCTTTAAGTTCAGGTTTGAAATGGCCAATTCTCTTTGAACGCGTCACCATTTTACCAGACTGCGCACAAGCAACCTGCATATGTTATTCGGATCAGCTGATAGCAGCAAAAAAAAAAAAAAAACGTCAAGCAAACATATACTCAAATGGTCAAATCCAGCTACGAAACACTACACAATCATTCTGAAATAGTCTACTTACCCAACAAAGCCATCATCCAACGCATCCTTTCCTCCACACTCTCCCACAAGAGCCAACAAACGTTTACGGGCCTGCACCTGCACAGGTAAACCGGAGAACAAAGGATCTATACCAGAGCGCACCACTAGCGCTGCTGACAACTTTACGCATACGCGCACCCAAAAAACTAGACCCTAGGATTAGAAAAATCCCCCAGAAAGTGGCCTACAACAAACACCCTATCACCTGGTGGTATACAGTAACAAAATACCAAATTTACAAATAATCGTGCAAAATGGGAACATCACGAGCCACAGAGTGGTCTCTGAAACTGCCCTTATGGAGCAATACGTACTCATCAGCTGAAACAGCAGCCTCAGCAGCTGTAGTCATTTTCCATTCTGTTATGTATGTTGCAATGCATTCTGGAAGACGACTATTTTTAAACTGCTCCAAAATCATCAAATTGAAGTGAACAACGGGAGCCGGATCCAGATTTTTTACCCGTTAATTTTTTCCCCCCAAATTCTCTCGCTCTCTCACGTTTCCCTCCCACCTGTTTGTGTACTCACTGTACCGTGTGTGTCTGTAACCCCTCCCTCCCCTCCTGCTCAGTGTAGATACACAGACGTCGCCACACATCTTGACCAATCCTGCAAATACGGATGAGGCTCCCAATCAGGAGCCGGCTCCCGTCGTTCACTTCAAAGAGCTGGATCGTTCGCGACTGACCCATCACTACACGACACAGTGAGCACACGAACAGGTGGGAGGGAGACGTGAGAGAGCGAGAGAACTTGGTGCTACATAGACAGAAACACTGGAAAGGAGAGGAAAATTAGTGACAGGAAACGTAAAGTTTGGACACATCTTAATAATTCTCCAGTGTCCACGTGAGTTTTCCCCGGGTGCTCCGGTTTCCTCCCACAGGCAAAAAAATACAAATATAATCTATATAAATCCACAACGCCGTTCACTGGTACCCACCAGAGAGGTATAAACCTCCATTCAGTTTGGAGTTTCCCCGCTATCTAAACCCAACCTGCTAACTAAACTCCCACTAGTCTTCCTGTGGTTAGTTGTGGTGGGTATTTATGCACTGTTGACCGCTGGATCAGGAAGTAATGATGGGTCAGTCGCGAACGATCTGGCTCTAAGAGCCGGCTCTTTGAAGTGAACAACAGGAGCCGGTTTCTGATTGGGAGCCGGATCAAGTTTTTCCCCCCGAAACACTGGAAAGGAGAGGAAAATTAGTGACAGGAAACATAAAGTTTGGTCACACCTTTATAATTCTCCAGTGTCCACGCGGGAGTTTTCCCCGGGTGCTCCGGTTTCCTCCCATAAACAAAAGAATACAAATATAATCTATATAAATAATGTAAATATAATCTATTAATAAATAAAAAAAAAAAAATATATATATATATATATAAATCTATTTTATACACAAATCTATAAATAAAAATTCTAATCATTAATAAATTGTGATTTGCATCATTTATTAATGCCATACATACTTGCATTTTGAATAAACATTCATTATTAAGAAAAACATGAAACAACAGCACAGCGTTACTTTCACTAAGTGTCTGTTCTCAATAAAGGAAATGTTGCCTTGGTAAAAGATAGGAGAAAAGCATCTCCCCACATCCTCTTTCATTCATTCTCATCCTCTCTACTTTTTTGCTTTCATGATGTTGGTAACTAAACTTTCCTGCAGGTGTTTCACATTTAAAGCCTTCACTTGAAAGGATTATAGTTACAGTTGCAAAAGGGCCTTCTGCAACATTAATATCTGATTAATCGCCACCATATCGTTATCCTTTCAACAAGATTGGACGGCTGAGGATGCTAGTACATTCCTGCCTCCCTCTTTACTCCACAGTATTGGTGGCTCTATCCCCATCGTGTTTTCCTATTACTCTGAGTTTCTGGCCCAGGAGAAACAAGGAGAGCATCTGAGCTGGCACTGCATGTTCTGGACGATCGGTGGGATCTACGCCTCCGCCATGGCCTGGGCCATCATCCCACACTATGGTGAGAAAAACAAACAGATCACTCAGTCAGGAAATCATTGTTTCAGACAATATGTAGTTAATGTGTTAGTCAACCAGCTAAACAGCCTGTAACCTTAACCATTTTATTTTATACCACAAAATGGGATCATGGGATCATCCTCCTGCAGCAGACACCTCTCTTTATCAACCTTGTCATCCCCACCCGCCAATCTGACACCCACTACAGACCCTGACACATCTCCCACCACCTCCCAGACTGGACTTCATATCACAGTCAGCCAAATGAGGAGAGAGCTGGAGAAGCTCAAACAGAGGAAAGCTGCTGGACCGGACCACATCAGCCCTTGAGTAGTGAAGGCATGTTCCAGCCAGCTCTGTGGAGTTTTCCAGCACCTCTTCAACCTGAGTCTGCCCCTTCAGAGAGTGTCAGTGCTCTGGAAAACATCCTGCCTGGTCCCAGTGCCCAAAAAGGACATCCTGTGACACTGAAGGACTACAGGCCGGTAGCTCTGACCTCTCAAATCATGAAAGTCACGGAGAGACTGGTCCTGGCACACCTCAGAGCATTAGTGTGCCCATCGCAAGACCCCCTGCAGTTTGCATATCAACCTCATGTGGGGGTTGATGATGCAATCATCTACCTGTTGCAGAAGGCCTATTCCTCCTTGAACAGACCCAACACCTCAGTCCACGTCATGTTCTTCGACTTCTCCAGCGCCTTCAACACCATCCAGCCCAGACTGCTGAAGGCCAAACTGGAGAGCACGCAGGTGGGTGCTCCCCTCATCACTTGTGTAGGAGCCGCATTTAAGTTTATTTGAATTCCATTATTTACATTGTCTTTTGTCAGTGTGCGCCCCCTACAGGTGGTGATGGTGCCACCCTTTAAGGCAGTCGCCCATCATGCATGGGGGAGGAAAGCAGCCCAGCAAACACCGTCATTGACCGCAGCTTGTGAAGCTGCCTGGGCACTCTCGGCCTGTTGCTGTTTGGAGCTACAATCAAGTTTAGCTGTAGCCTGGTCCTGCCAGTTATAGAATATTTTAAGACCTCTGCAAACAATGCGTTTTATTTTCCGTGTTTAAGTTACAATAAATTACCGGCATCATTCTTCAATCAACTCTCACTGGATTTATTCGATCACAAACTGCGAGTCTGACACTGCACCGCTGCTTTCCCCATGTGGTAAAACGAAGGAAACTGGAAGTAAGGGATTATAAGAAAAATCCAAAACGAAATTCTGCCACTACAACTTGGTTCGATGACTATCTGACGGGCAGACCGCAGTTTGTGAAATTAAAGAACTGTGTGCCTGACCGTCTGCCCCCCCAGGGAACTGTACTGTCTCCCTTCCTCTTCACCACCTACAGTGCAGACTTTAAGTACTGCACTGAGTCGTGTCATCTGCAGAAATTCAGAGGATGCTGGCAAAACTGCTGACAATCATGAACAAAAAAAATGCGATCAACTTCTAAAATATAATGCATTTTAGAGGTTAATCAACCATTCTCATTTTGATTGTCCCTAATCATAATAAAAAGTAATAAATATATAATATAAGGAAGAGATACTATTCAATACTTATTCCACCACTGCCTTTTGATGCTTCACTATGGAACAACTACATTAGAGGCTCTCAGGGTTCAGAGATTTTCAGCTGTGTTTGAGTGGGTGGCAAAACAAGAATTACCTTAATTTTCATCTTGTTTACTTTAGTCACCAGCAGCTATCTTAATAAGGTTAGGTATAATCAGAACTTATTTGATCAGTGGTTTCAGCCTTTCTACTAACAGTGTGTGTCAGTGGTATAAAATTGCAAGTTAACTGCAGCTCTTGCTTCACCTAGAGGAGTTACCAGATACCAGACTGAATGTTTTCAGCAGCTATACAAATAGTATAGCACAAAGAAAAGAACAGCTGTGTAATGATCTTCTTTACATACATGATCCTGCTACGGAGCCTTCATCCAGAGAGAGTCTGTGGTCTAAAGCATGTATGTTTACTGTAGATGTTTCAAGGCTAGGCAGTCAATTATTTCCGTTGTAGCTGTCTTGTCTGGGGCTATAAGATCTAAGCATCTTAGTTTTATTGTAGATCCAGTAACTCCCTCCATTTAGCATTTATAAGAAGTACATAAACACAGAATAATGATTCATACCACTCAAAATGCAGGTGAAGCTGATATATAGACATTTCAATTGTCTGTTAATGTATTTGTTAACAATTCTAACTTCCTACATAACTCATGAAACATCTGTACATCATGATTGATGACACACTGTAACATAGCTGTGATCATATTTAATGAATACACAAAGCCAAATCTGTACAGTGTTCCTGCTCTAGATCCTGCAGTTCTTGCTAATTTCAGGCCTATCTCCAAACTTCCTTTCCTTTCAAAAATCCTGGACAAGATTGTGCACAGTCAATTAATGGCCTTTCTGGAAGAACATAATATCCTAGAGGTTTTCCAATCCGGTTTTAAAACCCTGCACAGCACCAAATCAGCTCTCGTAAGAGTTTTTAATATCTTTTTAGCTACTGACTCTGGTGACTGTGTTATCCTTGTGCTTTTAGATTTAACTGCTGCATTTGACACAGTGGATCATGAAATATTGATCTCACGTTTGAAGCAGTGGGTGGGCATCAGGGGCATAGCACTGGAGTGGTTCAGGTCGTACTTGGCTAATCGAACTTTCTGTGTCAGCCAAGGTGACTCTCTATCCCCCTCTGCTTCTCTCTCGTTCACAGGGCTCAGTTCTTTGCCCTCTACTTTTCTCTCTCTTTTTGCTCCCACTTGGTTCCATACTTAGGAAGCACGGCTTTTCATTCCACTGTTATGTCAGATTTATGTGCCTCTTAAAAAGAAAAATGAATACTCTGTCAGACTGCTACTTAAGTGCCTCGATGACATAAAGGCCTGGATAGCTCTGAATTTCAATGATAAAAAGACGGAAGGTGGTTTTTGGTGGCACCACTGGGACCCCCCCTGTAGATCTGGGTTCCTTGGCCCAGTATATTAAACCTAGCATCACAAACCTAGGGGTTAAAGTTGACCCTGAGCTTAAGTTTGACAGTCAGATAAAGGCTGTTGTCAAATCAAGCTTTTTCCATTTGAGGCAGGTGGCCAAAATAAAGCCAATTCTATCAAGGCAGCACTTTGAGACGGTAATCCACGCCTTTGTTACCACTCGGCTGGATTACTGTAATGCACTGTATGTGGGGGTTAGCGGGTCCTCCATCGCCCGTCTCCAGATGGTACAGACGACGCTGCACGTCTTTTAAGTGGCACATGTAAACATGAGCACATTTCCCCCATTTTAGCCTCACTCCACTGGCTGCCTATTCAATTTAATTTCTTATTTTGATTGCTTTTTATTGCCTGGCTATTATTTTTACTCATGTTTTATGTCTTTTCATTTTATTGTTGTATTTTATATTTAATTTTGCGCCTCAAGTGAGCTGTTATGTCTTTTATTTATGATGTTGTGGTGACCGACAAGTAAGACTGAAAGAGACATTCACCAAGGGACTGTACCTTTAAGAGAGAGGTGTGATGGGATGCCGGTTCCGGGTTAACGTAGTGTGGCCGTTTCTGACCTCACTCGCTGTACAGTGTGTTATGATATTGAAGTGGAGAGTGAAGCTGACTCGACGCATCTCCGTCTCTCGTCTCCTCACTTATTGCACTCCACAATGTCTTATTTATTCTCCTGTACAGCACTTTGGTCAACTTTGGTTGTTTTAAAGTGCTTAACAAATAAAGTTGGATTGGACAAAGTTTGAATATTTTGTCTAGAATTGTGTTTCTCATGGTCTGAGAGTCTTTCAGGTGCCTTTTGGCAAACTCCAGGTCGGCTGCCATGTGCCTTTTACTAAGGAGTGACTTCCGTCTGGCCACTCTACCATACAGGCCTGATTGGTGGAGTGCTGCAGCAATGGTCTGGAAGGTTCTCCTCTCTCCACAGAAGAACCCTGGAGCTCTGTCAGGGTGACCATGGGGTTATGGCCACCTCCCTGTTGGTCCCCTTCTCCCCCGATCACTCAGTTAAGAGGGACGGCCAGCTCTAGGAAGAGTCCGGGTGGTTCCAAACTTCTTCCATTTAAGGATGATGGAGGCCACTGTGCTCATTGGGACCTTTAAAGCATAATGTTTCTGTACCCTTCCCCAGATCTGTGCCTCGATACAATCCTGTTTCTGAGGTCTACAGACTACAGTCGTTATGGTTTTTTCTTTGATGTTTTAAGGTCCCTTTCACCCACCCACACTTCCTTTGATACTCACTGACTGCAGCTGGTTGCAGAGATACAGAGAAAAAAAACTGCAAATTTGTATGAAATAGTACATTTTTGAACATTTCCACATAAAAGTGCATTATAGGTTTAATTTAGTCTAGGTTTTTATTGCAAGATCACTGGTTGAAGCCTCACAATGTATATTCGACTAATCTGTGCATGAGAATGTATGCACAGATTAAAATCAATGTGTTTATTAAAATAGAAGCAAAGCTTTTTTTTTATCCTGAAAACATTTTCCTTAATTGGCTGTTTAATGTTTATTTTCAACATCTAATTCTCCCAATTGTGTGTCAAAGTTTTGTGGTGTTTGGCACTCATTTCATGCCGTCTTACAAAGTTGCTGCTTAATGACTGGATCAAAAGATTCACCACAACACTAACCAGAAAAAAACAGAGGCTTCCCAAACTATAGCAAGCTGTAAAGACATGTTGAATTACTGAGAGTGACTCAGCACATGTTGGTGACCTTTCACCCTCCCTGCTGTTTGTTTAAGTTTTTGGTTTTTCTCCTCCAGAATGGGAAACACGACGAGGCGTGGATGATTCTGAAGCAGGTCCATGACACCAACATGAGGGCGAAGGGCTACCCAGAGAGGGTCTTCTCTGTAAGTCACACCCAGTAATTGTATTGTCACTATTGTCTGTATGCAGGAAGAAATGTCTTCACACAGCGCTTGTGTGTCTGTCTGGAGACTAGTGCAGTGCAGCAGGTTTTGAGCTCTGGGATGCATACATTTGCATATTAATAAGTTAAAACAGGTTTTCTTTAAACTACTGTAATCTCTTAATGCTTCGATCCACACAGTTCATATTAATAGTTAAATGAAATATGGTGATATAAATACTTTATATCCTCTTATTACTGCATTAATTAGTACAATGAATTAGCATAACTGGTGGATGTTTAATATCTAGTGTTAATGGTGAGCCATTACGCAGATCAGATGACTCTCATTATATCATTTTCATTGTTTTAAGGGTTGTGTACCCACATGGGAGAGATATATTTTCTTGTACAGATTTACAGACATGTAGACATTACTTAGAATAATACGGAATACTAATATAGAAAGAACATTTACTGATTATCTGTAATATTTCAAAGCAAGTGTTTACAGACGAAGAAGCAATGGAAAATCCTATAATGAATTAATTATAATTTTTGTATGTTTGATATCACATAAAAGCATGTTTTATTCTTTCACACACACAAAGCCACGTTTAATTGTTTCAATAGCCTGTGTGCAAAATTGGGTTGATATCAGTAAATATTATGAAAAACAAGTTTTGAAACAAGTGCTATGAAGAAACGCAATTAACAATTATTAAACCAGTGGTTCTCACACTTTTTTGGTCATTCCTCACTTTGGACAAGGGGGAATTTTCAAGCCCCACCTGCCCCCCATCGCCCCAACACAATGCTAATGAAATACGCAACAAGCTTAAAATGTTCCAATTTATTTAAGTAACAGGTAGTATCAGTATAGTAACAAATTGTATCTAAATACAAACTATCTACATCATATAACAGCAAGTTCAAAAATAAAGAAAATAAAAGTGAAGCTGTTTCAAAATTTTTATCAAGTTCAAAAATAGAAAAGAAGAGAAATCCATTTGGCAAGACTGGTCTATTTATCCCTGCATTAGTGGCTGCAATGAGCCTGTTTTGCATTGCACAGTTTCTCAAAGCGGGGTTGCAGGCTTGATACTGCCACTCTCAAGTCATGCTCAATGTTCAGCTGAGATCTGTACTTTGTTTTAAGTGAAACAACAGCTGAAAAGCCCATCTCACAGAGATATGATGCACACAGCTCTCTGCCCAATGAGTGGATACTCCCTCTCCACTCCAAACCAGATCTCACTAAGAGTCTGAGTTTTAAACCTGAGCCTCAGGGTGGAGTCAGATGTCATCTCAATAAACTGGTCCTCCTCAGCAGACCTAAAATCAGCAGGTGCTGCAGACAGAATATAAATAAATAGGCTTACTTTATTTGTCATTGCATAATAAACACAAAGAAATCAGTTTGACAACAATCCATTCCAGTTAGTAAGTAGCATACAACATAAATAAAATGCATGTATAATATATGAGTATACTATTCAATAAAATGTCAAAATACCAACCTGCTGCATTAAATGGATCAATAACCCAGGCATACTGAGCACTGTTGTTTGGGAAGTATTTTTGAAACAATCCTCTCAGGGAAGAGATGTGCTGCTTAATCAGTATCCAATGGTCCTTTTAGATCATCACGTCGGGGTCACTAAATTGTTGTGTATCAAAATGATCTTTAGGACATAAGACAAACAACTTCTCTCAGTTAAGAAGTTTATTTAGAATTGTATAATTAAAATAATACTTGTACAAGGATCTTGTTGGATTGAGAAGCCACAGTCAGCGAAGTGCTGTTACTCTGTCTTTTCTCGCCCCCAGAAGAAGAGTCGTGATCAAAGGTTACAATAGGTTATATCATTTTTACATTTAAGCAATGTGATTGGTTGACTATATGATGGGACGCAACCGTGGTTTAGACTTGGTGCATCCTTGTTGGTGCTCAGACTGGTCCCAGTCTCTTGGCACACGACCCAACCAATTCCGAGGAGACAGCGCCCAAAAGAGAATGAATTATTCCACCCCAGGTGTTCCAGCCAGAGATAAGTTGTTCTAACTCCCATGCTCAGGTGTTTGTAGCAATTGCAGCTTGGAATCACAGATGAGAATATGTGTCAGTGTTTTCTTATCATTGTGTGTAATGGCTATGAGAAGTGCAGGTTTTCACATGTATGTGTATTAAATAAATTGAAATTACTAATACCTAACAGTTTGAACATTCATATAACCGCTCCAGTACTCACTGGCCTCCGAAGAATAAGAACAATGATGGTAACTGAAGATATGTTATGTTTTATATCCCTCATGTGACCAATGATTAAAACATATATGCTTGATTAAGTTGATTAAAGTTGCATTAGCAGTTAGCTTGATGTAGTGAGGGAGGGGGAGATGCTGTAGTCGGTGGACTGGCTTGATGAGTAACGTTAACGTTAGTACGTAACGTTAGCTGCAGTAATGTTACCAGAGGCTGCATTTTCTTGCTTGATAGCATGTCCCTTGCCACACTTTGAAATTCAACATCCTGGTAACGTCACAATTCTCAGTGAGGATCATTCTTGATAGATAATGTTAAATGTATAGGTACAGACTTAAATTAGACCACATGCTCAACTTCTTAATTAGGTTATGTTAAGCTAGTAGTTGAGGCTAAAGTTTAATGCAGTTTTTCTGCTGTCTGTGCACATTTTAAATTTGCTCTGTGCTTACTAATTAGAAAGCAGCACTTGATAAAGTCAGGAAAGTGAATCTTTGTGTTCTCTAAATTAAGCTTA